ACAGTCAAGTTATTGTACATGTTATACCATCCACTCTCAGGTGAGGCCACATATAAGGGCATAAGGTTTATCACTTTATCCAATTTAAGAATACATTCTTTTTCAGTTAAACGACTGATAGTATCACTGATTACATTACACTTAGTATTTATATATCTGGCAGTTATATAGAAATTATGTTCTATGGACACCAGAATAAATGACAGATCCATCGCATAACTGTTACATTCCTACTAGATCCTTTATTTATCTGATGTATGGTGGCCTGGTTATCAGTATACACTACAATATGAGTATTTATCCAATGAGAACACCATCGCTCAGCTGATAGTACAACAGTTATTAACTCTTTCTCATTGATATGGAGGTGTGACAGATTTTGATAATCTGTATCCCAATGTACATAAAACCAATCACCCGCATAATATGCCCCAGCTCCATCAATGCAGAAATCACTTGTAAAATAATCTTGTGGTTTCATATCTTCAAAAAATGGGACAGCATTGCGTAACTGTTCATACCACTTTATACATTCTTAAATCCCACTTGGGTAGCAACATAATAGAATTTGCTGTGTTTTTTTTTTTTTAAGAATGTATGGTTTTATCAAAAGGAAAGTGCATTATTTTTCTATTGTTTTTAAAGAATGTACACTTGGCAAGCTATCAAAAACAAGTGAGACATAAATGACCATTGACAGTTTTTGAAAAAAAAATACATGTACCCTTCTATTGTTACTGTGCATTCTTTAGAATAAAACAATTTATCAATTTTTGTTGCTATCTACATCATTGATCTTATCTTACTTACAAATATTCTGCTGTATTCAAATGCAATGTTCTGGACTGGACAGTCACCTGTAGTGCACTGAAGCTAGACTAATTATAGCCCACTCAGTCACTTACATCAACTCACACTCATGAGGTCAATGCAACCAACTCTTTTTGTTGTTACAATTAATTGGCTATATAACTACATGAACAGTCAACTCAAAAGAGCTCACTCACTTACATGTATCAAACCACTTACCCCTACATGAACACTCAAGACAAAAGAAATAAAATTTTCCAGATTAGATCATTGACCATTTACCTGCAATATACTATTTACCTATAATAAGAATGTGTGTGATTTAAGTAAGATAAAGCATTCAAATTCGATTTGATAAGAAATAATAACCTCAGGCCTTCGGTGTATTATTTCTTATAAAATCTCATTCTTATGCTTTATCCAGTACATAGCACCACTTAATGTCAGCGCGCACTTTTATTCAGCCGTGTATGATAATGTCTTCCTTTTACTGAATTAAGCGCCGGAGGAATGTTCTTCCCCCGCGAATTACTTTTGCTACCCAGTTTAGCTTTCCAATTAGCTTCTGCAATTCTAACTTTGTTGCACATTTTTTCCGCTGCCAATTCTCCAAAAGCGCACACAAGACTGCTACCTTGTCTTGTGGTAAACTCAAAGTTCGATTTGCACTGTTAATTACTACTCCCAGGTATGTGAGCTCCTGGCAAGGGGGTACTATTTTATTCCAGCTAATCATGAATCCTAAATCCTGAAGTAGGGATAATAGTTCAGTATAGGCTAGCTGACATTCGTCCCTGTTATTAGCTATCACGAGCAAATCATCTAAATACGCCTTAACACAGTAGCCACGGCGGCGCATCATCCTTGTTACAGCACTCGACAATCTAGAAAATATGCTTGGTGCCATAGAACTACCAAACATTAATCTACGATTCACTAAATAAGTCGGCTCTGAATCTCTGGTAAATGTCCATTGTAAACCAGAGACTTCATAGCAAGAGCTGTGAATACCAACACTTCTGACCCTCAGTATCACTATTTAATAATATACAAAATGTTTGGTAAAACATAAATGATACTATAAAAAATATAAATGACACACGCTGAGGATGAATAAAATATTCTAAACCTCCCATGTTTTTATATTACTGATACCTTGGTCACATTTGCTCCACTTTTCACTACGGCGCCCGGCGGATTGAGTATTTTGTTCAAAATTGAATACTATATTGAGCAAAGCACTCAATCGGCCGGGTGCCGGCCGATGGATCGGAGCAAATGTGACCAAGGCATAAAGCTAAGCTAGGTTGATCCACCCTTCACAAGATACTGACAGTGTACACACTGAATTTATTCTACAATATATGAGATATAATTCTGCTACAATATACAAGGTACAAGTACAATACAACACAATGCTGTCTATTCATTACAGTAAATTACTCCCTTAGTAACATTGTTTCATTTATCTCAATCATGGTTGTTAAATGATCTGCCAACTACATCCCTATGTAGTCAACAGAACCAAATACTTGACCATAATTAATGATACAAGGCTTTAGTTTCCTTCATAACTTATAGTGTGGAAAGACAATTTGTTATGTTTTTGTTAAACAAGTTTAAGTTAACAGAATTTAGTGCTGTGCTAATTACTAGTGTTGACAGAAACAAAAAACGGTCTTTGTTGAACATGGATTTCATCAGGGTTAATAGCAATTATGTTGTGACATGTGATTATTCATCCTGTTAACGAAACCACATCTGCTAACCAAACTTAGATTGTAGAGATTCTGATGTATTTTTTGAAGGCATTACTTTTCCATCTACCCATTTCTCTGATGGGAGCATCTGATATGTTACATAATGCAGCATGACTTCAGGCACCTATTCTAAAGGAGTGCGCTTTAAAATATGTTGGATTCAAACCCACAAATTCCAATGCCTTGTTAAGAATCCTCGTAAAATGTGATCTAGTAATTACTTGACCACTACCCCAAGTAAACAAAGGACCAGGTGAAATTCCACGATATTTTAAATAATTGACCATGATAGAAACTGGGCAATAAGATTTGTCAGTGATGGACTGAATTGCCAGGACAAATGGCCGTTCCATAGTGTTGTGCTTGAAATGTGTGATTGTAAGTTCCATCTTAAGACCTTGATCCTCTATAAATTTTAGATCATTCCTTTGTAAAATAAGATCCATATTCGGATCATTCTTTGACCTCACTGTTATTTCACCAATTTTAAGGAAAGCGTGAAATGCCAGCAAGAATATTGATTTAAATAATATGACTTCATGACCATTGTGCAACACTTGAGGAAGGGCATTTATCAGTTTGTGCAGGATTGGCATTGACTGATGACTGATCTTTGGCAGCACCAATTAAAATTTTTTGAACCAGAAATTTTTTAAGGGATCATTCAAACCAGAGATTTTATGCATATAAGCAATAGCAGACATATATGAGTAAATAGTTGATCCCCGCTAGTTCTTAGTGTTTAGATAAGATACAAACAAACATAATGTATCTTGAGCAATTGGAAGATCACCACACAAGTTGAATGTTTGTGTAAACGTAGTAAACATCTCCCAAGTATGTTTGTACGACTTTTGTGTTTTAGTCTCTTGTGCCTTACTTATTAGACTTTTTGCATTTTGTGACAATTCTTGAATGTTGAGAGCTGTGGAATTGTTGTCATGAATCTGTTAACATCTGGTTCCAACTCTTTGAACTTCTCTATCTGTAAGTGCGATAAAAGATCACATGATTTATTGGTTTTGGTTGAGATCCAGTCTGCTTTAAACAATATGTTGTTTGACAAACAGGCTAACACTAACCTTCTCAGCAGAAACATGAGCCGGCCACTACGGAAATGTTATCGCAGAAGAAAACAATTGATTTGTTGCTTATTTAATTTCCCCACAATTCAGTACTTAGAACAATTGGATACAGTTCCATTTCGGCAATATTGAATTTTTTCCATTCATCATTCCACTGACCACTGAACCACTTTTTTCCAAACATTGCTCCAAAGCTCAAAGTTGATGCTGCATCAGTAAATAATTGCAGACAGTTTGAATTTTGCCACATGTTATTAAGGAATATTGCTTTCCCATTAAAATGCTTTAGAAATCTCAACCACATGTCCAGATCCAGCTTGGCACTTTCTGTTATCTTAATATGATGATTAGGATTAGTTTTCCCCAGAGTTAAATTAATTAGCCTCCTAAGAAATGTTCTTCCAGCAAGTATCACCTTACACGCAAAGTTAAGCAGACCTATCACTGATTGTATCTGAACACATTTGGGTTTCCTACCCTGACTGGCAAGGGTTAGTAATTCAGAAATCTTTGAAACACATTTGTCTATTTTTGACTGAGGCAATTTTAAAGACATTTCTACTGTTGATATCTGAATACCCACGAAAGACAATGTGTTAGTAGGAAAAAAGTTTTTTCCTCTGCAATGGGAACTCCAATATCTGAACAAACCTGTAGAAAATTGTCCAAATCAACCTTGCATCGCTCAGTAGATGCCACAAATAGAAAGTCATCAAGAATATGAGTTACCCCATAAACCTTCAATTTTGCAAGGGCAATCCATTGTAAAGCAGAACTAAAAACTTCAAACAATCTACAGCTAATGCTGAGACCCTTTGGTAAATTCCTATCATAGTAAAACTGGCCATCAAATTTCATGAACAGATATTTGTAACTCTCTGGAGATACTGGTATGCAACGAAAAGCATTTTTATGTCAGTCTTACTTAAAAAACAACCTTTATCATGAATCCTAACCAAATTAACTGCATCATCTATTGTTGCATATTGGACAGTGCAGTAGTTATGATCTATCATGTCATTAACTGAATTTCCTTCAGGACATGATAAATGGTGAATTAACTGATATTTATTGAGTTCTTTCTTGGGGACTAGACCCAAGGGGCTAACACATATTTTGCTAAGTAGATTGGAATCGAGGTCATAAGGGCCTGAAATTCTGTTCTCGTGAGTTTCTTTAAGTAATTTTTCCGTGACTATGTTTTTGTTATCATTTGCCGATTTTAGGTTAGTAATATTATTGAAATGAGGAAAGTTTACTTCAGACTCATCACAGTAAATGCTGAAACCATTGGAAAAACCTTTGAACAAGTATTGTCTTGAAATTTCATCGTAGCCTGTCAATTGTTCTAACAAGACCAGCGGATTAATTGGAGTGGCAAGTGGAGCATGATTGTCTATGAACTTATTCAACTGAGTTACTACTGGAACCGGATTTTTGGGCTCGAAAAGAACCATTAGACTGCTTATTTGACGCTTTTTGACAGTTCACTGCTCTGTGTTGACCATCACATTTTGAGCATTTATTCAGTTGAAATTTACATGGGTCATATGTACATGAGTTGCCATCATTCCAGTTCCAGCAGTACCCCAGTTTGTTACCATTATCAAACTTTTAACCTTGCTTTCCAGATTTGTTGAAACTCTGTTTAGCATTGGATGGCTTGTCCTTTTACTACCTGTGGACATTATGAGAGAGTTCAGAATGTATTTTACCCCAAGGTAGTGAAGGTCGTCTTTCCTTCAATTTTCTGAACTCTTCATCATATTGTAGTCAATTGCCACCATTACGCATTAGTTTGACAACAATGTCATTGGATTTCAATAATTCACTAGCCAATTCAAGTTTTCTAGCTGTTAAAATTGTACTATAAATTCTAAACGCATTCTGCCACTCACCAAATGCAAGAGCTTTTTTCGACACAGCTGGGGCAAAATACAATGCCATTTCCCCGTCTTGGTTGTTCGCTATGGATAACTGGTGTCTATCAAATTTGTCATTCTTGATCAGAATAGCAAAGTCGACATAATCACCATTCCATATTTTTGATTTGATTTTATTGCTAACATGAGTATCAAGGGGAAGGTCAATTTCGACATAGGTATCTTGCTCCAACTCACAGTTTCAAGTATATTAGAAGACAATGCGTATTAGTGTCTGCACTAGTGGATGCCACAGCTGGAGATGCCTGATTGTCATTTGGGTCCTTCGCCATAGATTGATATTTCGCAATAGTGTCCACAATAATGCCCTCTATGTCTGACTTTCGTACAAAATCTGTTGACACTGTAATTGTGTCAGATTGGCGGCCAACCTGATCACTGTCCGCCGACGTCATGTTAGGGGTTGCAGGGGTAGATGGGCCAACCTGTAATCTCGCTCTAGATTGGCAGCCAGCCTGAACACTGTCAGTTGACGACATGTTAGGGGTTGCAGGTGTAGCTGAGCCAACCTGGGATCTCGCTCTGGTCCCCATCGCTTTTTGCAACTGATGCTTGACCTGGGCTTCGTGTTGCCCTTTTGCATCTTCTCCCCTTTCCACTCATATTCTGGAAAAAAGTGGAAACAAGTAATGTGTTCTATTAATTTAAAAGTACATTGCGTATATAAAATGTTAAGCTGAGACAAGGGAATTAAATAATTACTAGTACACAACATATCACTGATGGATGTACATACAGTACATTAAAGATAACACAAGGGGGGGAATAACAATGGACAAATACTTGGGTATTCTTTGGCCCATCCCTTCCACAAGGGCAACATTCTTAAAACAATTGCCTCCCTTAGTAGTACAAAAAAACTTATTAATTATTTGTGTAAAGCAAATATTAAATAGAATTGCGTAATTCCCTTAACTCTTACTGATACATACAGGATGGCACCTCTTACACTTTATATAAAAATTGTGTTGCCATCCCAATTCAAATGTACCAAATTATTACACAAATATTCCAGATGTGGCTCAAATTTCTTCTGGAACCAACCATCATGTTGCTAAAGTGTTATACTATCCCCACATACAAGGTTGGGTAATAGTTAGCTATTGAGACAACTTTATTATACGTTGTAACATCTGGTAAACAATACTGAGCAAATTCCATTACAGTAGGATTTAGCACTGAAAGTTACTATGTTTGTTACTTTCAAATTGAATCAGGATAACAGAACAATAGTAGTAACTATAAAAAATAAATAAACTTACCAAACAATCTAGTTGAAAGTATTTGCAGTTATTTGCAGTAATATCCCGTTTACATAAGTAACCTGTACAGCATGTATTTGTATAGACAGTTGATCAAACTGACGATATCTGATAGTGGGCTACTCCCTTCAGCCTCTGCCAAAACAGAAGCTCGAATCCTATCGGCTCACATAAAATACATTATGTTTCAAGGCAAGCTAAAACATATTTCACCTTTGTGTCAGATTTTAATCGGGTACTGCATTCCTGATGAGAGGGCTCTAATGATTAAATGAGAAAGTATTTAAAATTTAAAAGTTATCATTGTCCTCCATTGTCCTGGGTTATGTAGAAGCAGTACTGAACCTGGAAGATAGCATATTGCAAGAATCAATAAAAACAATTCAATAATGACCAATGAAATATTATAATCTCGATCCATAGCATCACGTCCGGTGATCGTACAAAAATGATGGAGGATGGATTAGGCGATTTCTGCAAAAAAACTCAACAAATTAGGGAGATTTATTTTTTCAAGAGAAATTTACAACTGAATTGCCAAATGCAGTCAGAACGCATTTGTAGTATGACTGTCTGTGAATAAAGGCTCTCTGAAAACTCTGTAATAATGACATAATCTCAAGTGCCATAATTTTTGGTTTAACTATAGGCCCAGATCCTAGCTAGATTTGACAATCATATTTTTTACATTGTATGTTTTAGAATTTATACCATCCTGTGCTTTATGCTGCATTAGTAGTCATTGAGAACCCTCTTAACATCTCCCTTACATTTACTGATATTTCAAAAAAAAATTTTGTTGTGTGATATTTTATCAAGTAAAAACTCATGAACAGTGCATTCTGGTCAGTGGTTCCCCTAAGAGTAGATACTCTGAGATTAGATTAACATATACTGTACAACTACTCTGACTGAGAGTTGTGATAATAATATTTATCAGAACACTTATAATTATAAGCCTCCTTGGACTTTTTCCTAAAGGTCATGCTTAAATGACAAGCACATATATTGTTCACATTACACAACATTTTTCAATTCTACTTAGTTAGAGTATGACAACATGTTTACAAATGATAGCAGAGTAATGGGTTGGTATTGAGATAAAAGACCACACTCATGTTGTTCAAATATGAATGTTTCCCTTTGCATGGAAAATACAAATCAATAGTCTAGTGATTTGTGCGTAGCATGCACTAATAAGCTCCAATATTGGTAGAAAATATAATCTGTCTTGTTGCTGTCAACATGTACAATACAGCATGTATGCTACAAAAATAAAAACAAGCCTTATATATTGGCTGTGGAAATCATAACCGTGCCACTTATATAGAACTTTGACAGTGCATGCTAGACGTATATTTAATCTATTACCTTGATATTGTTCTGTAGTTGACCAAATCAAGTTAGATGAATTTGAAATTGAACTGACATATCTCAGTATATTTATTTATAACATCAACGAAAATTGTGTGCTCCCATTGAGAAGTATAATCCTGCGCATGCACAGATGGACAATAACAAGTGTATTGGTGATGACTAAATACTGTACGCCCGGTATTATTCATGAGCTTTAATTTCGCGAATTTTGCGAAAACACAGTTTCGCGGCTATTAAATTTCGCGAATTTTACTTGTACTAGTAATTGGAACTAAGACACTAGTATGTCATTTACGTTCATCATTTCACAGGACAGCAGTCCCTACCCATAATGCACTACTAGTATATTTAACAAGCCACTGAAATAATTTACTCAGACAAAGGGAAACGTCATCAATTGGCCACGAAAATAAAATGAGACCTGGCATTGTTGGTAGTAGTTGGCCTGACTAGCCAACGTAAAATGGACATGTTGGTGGAAATCATCCAATTATCGCCCAATAACACTAGACGAAACGTTTTATACAAAACGAAATGCATCAGAGCCTCGGGTAAAAACAAATTCCCGGGGATTTAATTGGCAATTTCGCGACGATAATTTTTTGCGATTTTAACACCATCGCGAAAAGCGCGAAAGTTAATCGCACGTGAATAATACCGGGCGTACAGTACATATAAGATTACATTTATTTTGCACGGGAAAGCTATGTTTTGATTAGCGATTTTTAGCATTTATGATTGAAAATTCAGAAATTTTTTTACATATTCTTTTTTGAACAAGTGACTCTCTGATGTTTTGTGACGATACATTCTTAATAATATTAATATTGTTAAAATACATTGTTTCATCAGTGTTTAATTCATCCAAATCCTGTTTTATGCAAGCTTTCAGCATATTATATTGAAGTATAGTTTGACCGGTTTTTCCAATTCCTCATAAGTACAAAGTCTACCATTTTTGACAATATCATTCATGAATATTAATCCTCTCTTTATCCAATTATAAAAAACCAAATGGTGGCTCTCAACATTTTTCTCTTCTAATTGTTTCCTTATTTGTTAAATTGTAAATGCTTGTATACAATATTATGGTAAGCAATGAAATATTTTTGAACTTTGCCTGAACAGTAATGAAAACTGGCCCTGCTGTGAAAAATAATATATCAGCATAATCATTATATAACACAACATCTAAAAGCATCTTGAATATACAAGTATTGTTATGTTACATTGCTAATCAGTAATGATGCATGATTTTTTTGTATCTTTATATTATACTAAGAAGTTGGGACAGCTGCATTCAACATTTTCAATAGAGTATTTAGTTATTAGGTATAGTAGGCCTCTAGTTATAGTATCACATATCTCACTAAGTAGTTCATTGGTGTACCTTGTATATAATTCCATTAACTAAACGCTTCCTTGGTGTACACTTTTCCCCACCGAAAACAGTTCTGAAATATTTGCATTTTAATTTAGGAACTGAGATATTGCTTGGGAAATATTTTAATGTAACTCTAACCCTTGAATCTATGTTTACATTTAATTTAGTAATTCATCTATAACTGTCATAACACTTTCTTAGCATTCTCCATAGTTTGCCATTTATTCCTTGTTTATTCCTTTTTATGATACAACACAACAAGCTAACTTTTCATGCTCTACAGCTTTAATTAAAATATTCTCATATCAAAAGCAGAGTAGTGGTGTCAGACTTTAATTTTAGAAAGGTTGTACTTTTTATCCATCTTTTCATAAATTTTATGGCCCAAGTCATTCAATATTTTATGTACACTTTCAATTCCCTGTTCACCTTGAAGACCCATCCCACAATTGTATCTTTCTATCCATTCCGATATGTGATCTTCAATGAAATGTTGTTTCAAGGTGATATTTGTTCTTTTAAAGTAGTGTCTATATGCTTCCATGTAGCTGTCAAGTTTTACTTGAATTATTGGTAACTCACCCTATGCTTAGTGAGCGGACCTAATTTCAAGGGTGATGGTAAAGACGAGACATGGCGCCCAAACCTGGCCTGTAACTAGGTGCACTGATGCTTTCTTCGCAAATTACATCGCCATTGCTCGTCATCGAAATTCTGATCGCCGAATAGACACTCTATAGTAAACATTCATTTTGTATTAGATGTACATAACTAGAGACCGCCTTATTTCGCATATATGAAAAAATAAAACATATCCAGGTACATATATCTTTATATGTGACATCGATCAGGAATTATTGACATATTGACAATATTAGGTTGTAATTTCTTGCGGTAAATTCAAATTGTATCTTTAAACGACTGTTTCATCTTAACTATTCGTTTTATTGGATGTAAAACAAACGGTATGCATAGTTTAACATCTTTCACTTCTAAAACAGCATAAAATATCACAATATTATCACCTTATGCTGCAATAATACGACTTCAAAGATTATGGTACTAACATTCTTTGGTTTTTGGGCGCCCTGCCTCGTCTTTACCATCACCCTTGAAATTAGCTCCGCTCACTAAGCATAGGGTGGTAACTACTCAGTCTCAATTTCTTTGTTGTGAGAATTGCGTTGTGAACAATTGACAGTTCTTTATTTATATCCTTGAAAATATTACTTATATGATGTGCTGCTGTTATACTAATTTATTTTCATTTTTAGTCCTTTTGAGATTAATATAGCCTGAACCACTGCGTTACAAAGATCATTTCCATGATTTTCCATGGTATGGTGGCCTTTGTATGTAATGTTTTTTTAAAACTTGGTTAAGTGTGGCAGCTACAGTTCCAGATTCTAAGTGAAGTTGATTTTTTTTTGTTTTTCTGTCTTCGATTCCTTTTTAATCATTTTCCCTCTTTGTTTATTTGGAATATTTTCAAGCTCTTTTTTCAATTTGGAAATTTTCTGAAGTTGAGTTATACATCTTATAGTTGAACATATATAATATATATAACTCTCAATTTTAGTATCTGAGTAATATGTAAATT